AAAAAAACCTGGTGGTTAAAGGCCAAAAACCTGTATTTGCTGGCCGTGATCTTTGGGCCCTCGGACGGCACTGCATTAAAAACAGACATGATTCTGTAGTGGAAATCACTGCATGGGCTCAGAAACACTTCTGAAAACCACTGTCTGTGAAAACAGTTCATCACTGCATCCACAAATGCAAGTTAAAACTCTAAAATGCAAAGAAGAAACCAGATATAAACAGGATCCAGAAACGCTGCCACCTTCTCTGGGCCGGAGCTCATTTAAAATGGACTGATGGGAAGTGGAAAAGTGTCCTGTGGTCCAAAGAATCAACATTTGAAATTCTTTTTGGAAATCATGGACACTGTGTCCTCCGGGCTAAAGACCACTCGGCTTGTTATCAGTGCACCGTTCAAAAGCCAGTATTCATGATGGTGTAGGGGGGCATTAGTGCACATGGTATGGGTGACGTGCACATCTGTGAAGGCACCATTAATGCTGAACAATATATACATGTTTTGGCAACATATGCTGCCATCCAGACGACGTCTTTTTCAGGGAAGGCCTTGATTATTTCAGCAAGACAATGTAAAACCACATTCTGCATGTATTACAGCAGCACTGCTCCGTATTAAAAGAGTTTGTGTGCTAAACTGACCTGCCTGCAGTCCAGACCTGTCACCACTGAAAACATTTGGAGGGTTATGAAATGAAAAATACAACAAATGAGCCCCTGAACTGTAGAGCAGCTGAAATCCTGTATCAAACAAGAACAAGAAAACGTTTCACTTTCTAAACTACAGCAGTGTCTCCTCAGTTCCCAAACGCTTACAGAGTGTTGTTAAAGAAGAGGTGATGAAACAGTGGTAAACAGGCCCCCGTCCCAACTTTTTTGGAATGTGTTGTTGGCATCAAATTCAAAATTCAAATATTTTTCAAAAAACAATACAATTTTCTCAGTTTCAACATTTGATATGTTGTCTTTGTAGTATTTTCCTTTAAAAATATGGTTTACATGATTTGCATATCGTTGCATCCTATTTTTTATTTACATTTTGCACAGTGTCCCAACTTTTTTGTAAATGGGGTTGTAAATAAGAAGTGTGATAAGGTAATTATTTACAGATCAGGGTTCGAGATGCTGATAATTGCTTCTATTCTCATGTTTTCATCATAAACAGCTGTTTTCATTTTATTTAATTGAATTAAATGAATCATTAAGCCTCAGTGAACAAATGCAAACTCATCACTGGAATTATTCAGTTTGTGTATTAACTGAGCTCATCAAAGCACAAGTTTTTTTTTTGAGAAATGGCTTCATGGTGCTACACATCATACTCAGACCTAATTTTCTTGGCTGCAAGGTCACATTAAAGATCAGCGCCAATGAAAAGACTGAAACATTTAGCCTAAATACAGTCTGGTAGCTCTGTGTTCTTTTGATAGTTTGTGATTGAACACAAGAGTTGTGTCTGCTTGCCAGCGAATATGGAAACGCTGATTTAGCTTAGCCAGCGATTTCTGTAATATTCATTATTTAAACAGAAAGTTCTAGAATATGTAGTTTGAATTTGATAGACTTTGTTCACATTTAGCCAGCTATGCTAGCTAGAAGCCATTGCTAACAGTAGCTGTATTTCCAGACAAGGTAGGTTTCATTAGCTGCTGCACCAGCTGGTCCAGATGGAGCTGCAGTGACACATTTACAGTCTGACAGTGACTTCTGTAACAATATAACAGGAAACCAAAACTTTTATATGTAATTTGGGTTTGATGGACTGTGTTTAAGCTCTCTTGTAGTGTAGGGCTACAGGTAAGGTGACCAGTTTTCTGAAATGAAAACCGAGGACATTTCCAGTTCGATGGTCAATAGGTCATTAAAATATCCCATGTTTTTATCTATAAAATAAAAAAGGGGGCCAGTTCCAGTTTCCCGTATTTTGGCCATGGTAACTGCTGTACTGTAATAAACTATGATTGAAGGCCGACTGATAAAACTGGACACTAAGTAACTTTGTAAACCATGTCAGAAAATCATACAGTAGCTACCATGGAGAGTGAAGCTGTGGGAAACAGTGGAACACTCAATAAAGGAAATGGTTAAACTACAATGGTTCAATAGATTTCAGCTCCACCTCATATAGTCATTGCTGCTGTTCCCCATAACCACATTAACTAACTCTGCCTGTGTGCTCACTTAGATTAGAGAGTGAGACACTGCTGCCAGAGGAGCTGCTGACTGAGACTGACGTTAACGTTACTCTGAGCACCATGGGAGTAAATTACAACAGTCCTATAAAAGATTGGTTGCTTTGCGAGATGTGTTGCTCGTCGCTTGTTAGAAATACAGTTGCTGAGTAAAAAAGGTCTCAGATCTCACTAAGTCTAGCGACTCAGGCAGGGATGAGGCAGAGACACATTTACCACAGAAGACTCAGTGGCTGTATGAGCCCATAATTCATATTCATATTAAATATTTTGTATAAAAAAGAGACCCAAGGCTACAGAAAAAAGACCTGTGGCCCAAAAGCCAGACCCTAAAGCCAGGTTTACACATGAAGCATTGTTAGTGGCGTGTGCCAAAAATGACTCAATCGCCGCCGACCCCACACACTGTTGCAGCGCCTGGCCGTGCAGCTCTGAATTTAACTTGGTGCTCGCCACGATCGTGAAGCTTCATTCAAAATGAATGGATTTGAAGGGAGATTTGTTTAGCAGGTTCACCTCCACAGGCGTGTGTGAGAGAGCTCCATCATACATCACAGAAAATACTGCAACAACGGAAGCGCTAACTAAACGCAAACAGGTTCACATGCCGTCTTGAGTAAATGAAGTGCTCACAATGAGCACCAAGTTACAAAAATTCGGGGGTGCCAGCGTGGAGCATACAGGGCGTCAAGTATAAACCTAGCTTAACTCAGCCTTTAGGACTTTGCAGTGAGTTTTTAATTCACAGTTAAAAACGAAAAGCAGGGCCGTCTGGTCACCCAAGCTAGAAGTGCTAGTTAGGTAGCCTATTAGCAGTTTAAGGAGCACCACATGAGTATCAAACATTAAAGCTAGCTGGCTAGCTGTGTTAGCGATCTGCAACACAGCATGATTCTTGTTTCACTACAATTTTTAAAGCAGTACTTCAGACAACACCACGTTTCACTGCTCACTCGAAAACACGACTCATGGCTTGTGTCTTAGCGTCGTGGCTATGCTGTCACGTTTTGATTCCCCTATTCTGACACAGTTGTTTGTGGTGAGGAAGAGCCGTGTAGTGTCGCTCACATAATGTGAATTGCTGATGGTTTATTGTCTAAGCTTTTTAAATACATGAGTCCAGAAATTGCTGCTAAATCACAAATCAGAAAGCTGCGTTAAATTAGCCAGATAACAGTTTGGAATAACTGTTCTTTTATATTGAGGTAGTAGTTTAAAAGCCAAATAAAGGGTTGTACAGATGTAAAGTTGTTTTCTGTAAAATATACTATATTATTCAATTAACAATTCTTTCTTTTAAAATTAGAAATGAATTTGGAGTAAAAATTCCTTACATTGGAATGGTGTGTACAGGAAACATGACAGTCATGTGTTGTCAGGACTGGACAGAAGTCAGACACTCACAGATTTAGAAAAGAGGTTTTAATAAAGGGCTTAGATACAAAGGGATAGTAAAAAACAGTCCGAGTCAGCAACAGCACAAAACACAAGTAGTAAAGGGGCATACCAGAAGACATAGTCAAAAAACAAGCAAAGATCCAAACTAGAAAAACAGAGTCCAAATGGGAGAGGCAAAGCACGGAGTCAAAAACAGGCTAAGGTCAAACACGGAAGGATAAACAGACATGGAACACTTCGTGATGCTAGTATGCTAGTCAAAACTCGGCAAAGAGTTTGGGGGGTGGGGGGTTAAGTCATGTGACTCTGGTTGGAAGCCATGTGAGAGTCCGTGGCATCATGGGAAATGGAGTCCTGTTCGGCTTGGGAGCTGAAGGGAAGCGTGACGTGTCTAAGCTATGCACTGAAATGTATTTGAAATCTGTCTAAATATAATGTCTCACAAATATAGACATTTTAGTTACTATTATGAATGGTTCAGTGAAGTGTTCCTCACTTCCAGCCTCAGCTGATTCACCTCAGCAGGTAGAGCAGAGTAACCTGTGCAGAGCTGTGGTTCTCCAGAACATGGAGAGAGGAGCTTCAGTTCCACACCTGGAACTCCTTTCATCTAGATAACATCAGACCTCAGACACATTATTGATCATGATTATCAGGATTATAGAGGTGATCAGTTCTACTGTCTGTTTATACTGAGATTCTATCAGTAAATAGTTTATTAATAATGAACTGATCAGAGAGAGACAGTAACATTATTGATCATGATTATCAGGATTATAGAGGTGATGGACCATTTACTGAGAGATCAGATTACTGTTCCACTCCAACACCGTCCACTTGAGAATGACCCGCAGTTCTGGATCAACATTACAGAGACATTTTATTATTATGGAGCTCAGATGAAGCTGAAATATGAGATTTACGTCTCCAAAACGTCACTGTTTACTCAACACTCTGTTTCCATCACTCTGTATCACAGCTCATCTGTGTTAATAGACTCTGTTCAGCTCAGTTAAATGTAAAATCATCTTTTAACATTTAGGTGTTTTTATTTTGGCTTTTCTATTGAAATTGTCTAATGTCCAACATCAGAGTTCATGTATAAATTGATTTAAATCTTAGTGTGCAGTTCTGTGTGATGGACAGTCTGAGCTCTACACAGCATTCACTGCAGATTAGCATCATATAATGGCTGATTATGATTAATAGAGTGGAGCAGCAGAAGATGTGATGGTGTCAGTAGATCTAGAGCTGGTTTCCTGTGTCTGCTTCATCATCCTTAGTAGTATTTTTATTGTAAAAAAGTTATATAGTCGCTTCATAACATTTAGTTTCATATGTTCCATGTTGTATCAGTTATATTTATTATCCAGGTGTTATTTCATTCTATATTAATGATCTGTTCACAGAGAGCAGCATCTCCAGTGTCCAGCTGTGTGTGGAGATTAAAACCTCAGTGATGGGGCTTCTTCACTCCTGCTGTGGAGGAAGAACCTCTGATTCAAAGTGAGTAACTTTATATCAGATCTTAATCTGATTAAACAGAAAGAGGAAATCAGAATAAATGAGTCTTAGTGAAGATCATAATCACTCAGCACTGAAATCTCACTGTGGATGAACTTTTCTCAGAGTGAAGCGTGCAGGACCTCCAGAACCCAGCTGTGTGTCTGAGAAGAGTGACCGGTCCATGCCTTATCCTCCTAGTTTCAGTGGAGGAGGAGGAGAACCCAGCTGTGTGTCTAGGAAGAGTGACCGGTCCATGCCTTATCCTCCTAGTTTCAGTGGAGGAGGAGGAGAACCCAGCTGTGTGTCTGAGAAGAGTGACCAGTCCATGCCTTATCCTCCTAGTTTCAGTGGAGGAGGAGGAGAACCCAGCTGTGTGTCTAGGAAGAGTGACCGGTCCATGCCTTATCCTCCTAGTTTCAGTGGAGGAGGAGGAGAACCCAGCTGTGTGTCTGAGAAGACTGACCAGTCCATGCCTTATCCTCCTAGTTTCAGTGGAGGAGGAGGAGAACCCAGCTGTGTGTCTAGGAAGAGTGACCGGTCCATGCCTTATCCTCCTAATTTCAGCCGAGGAGGAGGAGAACCCAGCTGTGTGTCTATGAAGAGTGACCGGTCCATGCCTTATCCTCCTAATTTCAGCCGAGGAGGAGGAGAACCCAGCTGTGTGTCTATGAAGAGTGACCGGTCCATGATGTTTCCAGCACAGTCCAGTGGAGGGAGAGGATCCTCTGACTCAGGGTAAATATCTGCTCCCAGTAAACAGCAGCTCTGACAGTGAATCACTGTAAACAGGTTCCTGATCTCTGGGCTGTAGATCAGTTTATAAAGGTTAGAGTTTAGGTCTCAGCAGGACTGAAACCCAGAGAGCAGCTTCTCTTTCTGGCCACCCCAGTTAATCAGAGTGAGGTCAGCCAGTTAATTACTGGTTACAGTATTAGTTTGTGTGAGCTGTAGTTCCACCTGAGCTGAATCAAGTGCTGAGTGGAAAACGTTCATGTTAACCACCCAGACATAAACTGACCACTCATAACATCACCTTATACTGTCTGACTGCTTTATCATTAGACTCATTACTGACCTTTTATCATTAGACTCGTTACTGACCTTTTATCATTAGACTCGTTACTGACCTTTTATCATTAGACTCGTTACTGACCTTTTATCATTAGACTCGTTACTGACCTTTTATCATTAGACTCGTTACTGACCTTTTATCTTAGTCTCGTTACTGACCTTTTATCATTAGACTCGTTACTGACCTTTTATCATTAGACTCGTTACTGACCTTTTACTTTAGTCTCGTTACTGACCTTTTATCATTAGACTCGTTACTGACCTTTTATCATTAGACTCGTTACTGACCTTTTATCATTAGACTCATTACTGACCTTTTTATCTACAGTCTCGTTACTGACCTTTTATCATTAGACTCGTTACTGACCTTTTATCTTTAGACTCGTTACTGACCTTTATCATTAGACTCGTTACTGACCTTTTATCATTAGACTCGTTACTGACCTTTTATCTTTAGACTCGTTGCTGACCTTTTATCTTTAGACTCGTTACTGACCTTTTATCATTAGACTCGTTACTGACCTTTTATCATTAGACTCGTTTCTGACCTTTTATCATTAGACTCGTTACTGACCTTTTATCATTAGACTCGTTACTGACCTTTTATCATTAGACTCGTTACTGACCTTTTATCATTAGACTCGTTACTGACCTTTTATCATTAGACTCGTTACTGACCTTTTATCATTAGACTCGTTACTGACCTTTTATCATTAGACTCGTTACTGACCTTTTATCGTTAGACTCATTACTGACCTTTTATCATTAGACTCATTACTGACCTTTTATCTTTAGACTCGTTTCTGACCTTTTATCATTAGACTCGTTACTGACCTTTTATCATTAGACTCATCTGTGACCTTTTAATCCCCGGGCCAACATTCCTTGGCCACACCACCACCCCCCCTTTTCCAGGCGACATATATACATATATATTTTTTTTTCTTTCACTTCGCTATTAATGTCGCAACTCATTGTTTATTAATGATCATATAGATATAAGGTGATTTGGCACCACAACCACCCAACACCCCTCCAAACAGCACCCCGTCACCCTCGCACCCATCCCCTGATTTGAGTGAAACAATGAACAGAAATAACAGGAGAAGTAAAAGAAGTAAAGAGAAAGGATGAGAAAATAATAATAATAAATGATAATAATAATAATAATGACAAACTGGACATACAGAACAGACAAATACAGACACTTAACAAAACAATAAACAAGGCAGTAATGCCCCCCCCCCCTTTTTTAATGTAATTATAACGTGGGTAGTTACCAAATCCTATGTAGGGGTTTAACCTTCTCCTGATGAGTTTGGATACAGAAATCAGCTCTCAATATATTGTAAAAATTGTGACCAGGTTTCTTTGAATGATTCTGTGTTATTTTTAAAATTTGCTGTGAGTCTTTCCAAGTTGCAGTGATCCATGAGGAGATTAAGCCAATGCTTTATTGAAATTTTGGTTCTGTCCAGTTCAGCAGTATAACTTTTTTGTCAGTGGTAAGTGATATGAATATAAAGCATTTGAGGTGATTGGGTGCTGAGAGTGAGGAAAGGTCATTAAGTAGCGCTGTAATGGGACATAAAGGGATGACAAGGCCCAAAATCTCTGATAGCCTGTCCATGACCTCTGACCAAAACTGCTGGGTCGGGGGACAATTCCAGAAAGCATGATAGTAGTTGTCTGTTAAAGCTGGACAATGTTGGCATTTATCACTGTGACTGAATCCCATACGGTGTAGTTTAGAGGCTGTGATATATGTTCTGTGAAGGGTTTTATATTGAATTAGCTGGAGTTTTGAATTGCTGGACATAGAGAAGATATCACAGCATATATTCTGCCAGTAGATATTACATGTTTCTTTTACATCTGAGGTCCATTTTTCAGTTGGGAGAGAGATAGTGTTGTCCTTTGAGGCTATAAGTTTATATATTTGTGATAACATGTTCTGAGGTTTGAGGGAGTGTAGTTTTAAGTAGAGGGGAGGAGTGTGATTGCAGAGATTTCCACTATTAACTGTCTTCTTTAGAACATCTTTGAGTTGTATATACTGAAAAAGTGACAATTATCTGGCATATTGTAGTTTTCTTTGATGTCATGATGAAGGTCATGGGCAAGCCACCAGAGAACAACTGTGCCAGGCTGGTTATTCCTCTCTGTTTCCAGGCTGAGAATATAAAATGTTTGTTATTTATTAAAAACATGGGGTTGTTCCACAGAGGAGTTTGACTGGAGGGAGAGTAGCTGTAGTTAAGAATTCTGTTTGAATTCCACCAAGCATTCAGGGTGGTACTTATTGTACTGTATTTATAAAATTTTGTTTTTTTTATAGCTTTCTCTATGAATGGAATACTATTAATGTCCAGTTCTTGAATTAAACTTCCCTCAATATCTTGCCAGAGTTGGTTTGAGCTAGTTGTCCAATGTCTAATGTAAAGCAATTGATGTGATAGAAAGTAGTAGTAGAAATTTGGGGCTCCAAGTCCTCCAAGATGTTTAGGTTTCTGGAGGGTAGCTAACTTGATTCGAGGCTTTTGGTGCTTCCAATAGAACTTAGTCACTGCATTGTCAAGAGAGGAGAACCAGCCTGATGGTGGGGTAACAGGGCTCATAGAAAGCAGATGATTGATTTTAGGAAGGATATTCATTTTAACTGCTGATATTCGGCCAATTAGAGATAATGGTAATTTATTCCACCTTTCTAGATTATCCTTTATTTCTTGCATTAAAGGTATGTAGTTAAGTTTATATCATTTATGCTAGAAGAGATATGAATACCAAGATATTTAATAGACTGGGCGATATGTTCAGATGGTATATCATAGACCTCGTCATCCCGGTTGAATTTACTTAGAGGCAGAAACTCAGATTTGGACCAATTAATGGAATAACCAGACACCCTGCTATACTTATTTATCAGATCATGAACTGATGGAAGGGATAGTGAAGGGTAAGTAATATACAGTAAAACATCATCTGCATATAGACTGATTTTATGGTGGTATGACTTTGACTGTATACCTGAGATTCTATTGCACTGTCTGATAGAAGCAGCCAAGGGTTCAATAAAAAGACAAAACAATAAAGGTGATAAAGCACATCCTTGTCGACTTCCTCTTTGTAGCTGAAAGGGTCTGGATATACGTCTGTTTGTTGAGACTGAGGCAGAAGGTGAGTAGTATGATGTTTGTATCCAGTTGATGAAGTATGGGCCAAATCCAAAGTGTTTAAGAGAAACAAAGAGAAAGGACCACTCCACCCTATCAAACGCCTTTTCAGCATCCAGAGATGCTATTATACATGGTGATATATACGTAGATTTTTCGCTGTTATACATATGAATTAGATTGAATAACCTGCGTGTGTTCTCTGAAGACTGTCTCCCTTTGATGAACCCAGTTTGGTCTGTGTTTATGAGAGTGGGTATGACCGATTCCAATCTGATTGATAAAGCTTTACTTATGATTTTTATGTCTGAATTGATCAGTAAAATGGGACGGTAGCTGGAGCAATCTGTGGATTTTTTATTTGGTTTTAAGATAAGTGTGATAAGAGCAGTGTTCATGTGATAGGGTATGGATGCATTTTCAAACATTTCTGAGATTGCTTTTAAAAAGAGCGGTGAAATAAGAGGCCAGAATTGTTTGTAAAATTCTGCTGGGTAGCCATCCGGTCCTGGTGATTTATGGTTAGGCATTAGAAAGAGGGCTTTGGTGATTTCTTCAGAGGAAAGAGGTCTGTCTATAGATTCTGATACAGATGTAGGTAATGTAGGTAGGGAGATGCTGCTCAGGAAAGCTTCAGTTTCTTCCATTGAGGCTTTCTTATCAGAAGTATAGAGATTGGAGTAAAAGGACCTAAATACCTCATTGATAGCTAGGGGATCCTGAATGATCCTACCTGAGATTGCTGTTATTATTGATTTCTCAGTTTCCTGTTTTAATTGATTTGCTAAAATTTTCCCAGTTTTATTTCCAAATTCAAATTGCTGTTGTCTAAGTTTAAGCATATCCTGTTCGGTCTTCTTTTGTAGTATATTATTAAGTTCGTATTTAGTTTTCATTAGTTCTTTAATAATTGAATCAGTAGGAGTCTGAGAGGCCAGAAGGTCCAATCTCTTCACCTCCCCCTGCAGCTTTTGTTCTTTTACTAAGTCTTCCTTCTTCTTTTTAGAACAGTATGAAATGATTTTTCCTCTCATCACAACTTTTGCTGTTTCCCAAAGTGTGCAAGCTGTAATGTCAGGATGTTCGTTAGTTTCAATAAAGGCTGCCCATTCCTGGTTAAAATAATCTAGAAATTCTTTATCATTGAGTAAAGTAGTGTTAAAGCGCCATCTTGGTGGAGGGAGGGATTGCTAGTCTGCTAGAAAGGTGATACTAATTAGAGCATGATCAGCTATAATAATACTATTAATATCTGAATGAATTATTCTATGTGTGATAGAAGTCATCTATACGGGAGTATGACTTGTGGTAAGGGGAGAAATATGAATATTCTTTACTGCTGGGGTTCTGCAATCTCCAAATATCCACCAGACCATAATCTGACATGTATTGTTTAAGCAACGTTGCTGAATGATTATTTACGTTACATTGTGCTGAAGAGGAACGATCTATGCATGGGTTCAGAACTGTATTGAAGTCACCACCAATTAT